CTGAAGATCAAAGGGGAGCAGGTTTTGTTGGCTCTGGCTCTTAAATATTGCAAATCTATGTCCACAAGCCATTGGACTACCCTAAACTGGGCGTCCTTGAGACCATAATCTCCCAGAGCATCCCCCGTAAAACCTAGCAAGTGGAGTTTCTTCGTCAGCTCCCTCTCCCAACGAGTGGTATGAGAGTCAGCAAACACCAGGGAGAGGTAGTTACCAGGGACTGCCGAAAAGAGCACCCGAAACCACCATTTAAAGGTGTTAATCCACGCCATGCATTTGACTGAACGAATGCCCAGTTCCAGGTAGATCGAAGCAAATCCAACACAGGGAGGAAGACCCAGAAGTTTCCTAAGAAAAACAGCCTGGGTTCTTTCAATACAATCCTTGAAGCCTCGTATCCATATGGGAATTCCATAAAGAGTTTGGGCCAGGGTTTTGGCTTTATATATACGCAGAGCAGAAGGAATAAACTGGCCTCCTTGGGTAAAAAAGAATCTTATAATCTGCTGATGGCTACAGGAGGCCGAATTCAGCACCTGGGTTTGATGTTTAGTCCAAGCACCAGTATTCTGAAATTGAATACCTAAATACTTAAAATGGAAAACCTGCCTAACAACATTACCATTGATAGCCCAGTTGTATGATTTCCGGGCTCTGGAGAACACCAATACTTTGGATTTGTCATAATTAATAGACAAATGGTTCTCAGCACAGTAGGACCCAAATGCAGAAAGTAATCTTTTTAGACTGAGCCTTGATTGTGAAAGAAGGACCGCATCATCAGCATAAAGAAGAAGCGGAATCTTCGTATTTAACAACTTTGGGGCATGGGACTCAATGCGTTCAATGTAAAAGGCCAGGTCGGATAAGAATAAATTAAACAGAAGAGGGGCCAGGACACAACCCTGTATTGTATTGTATTAGTTAGAGAGCCTTCCCAGGACTACCTGGAAATGCTTTTAAAAGAACCTGGGAGCTTTTTATGTCTGGAATGTCTGGATGTCTGGAAACTAATCAAGGAGAGAAGCAACCTAGAACTGAGGAGAAATTTCCTGACAGTTAGAACAATTAATCTTGCCTCCAGAAGTTGTGAATGCTCCAACACTGGATGTTTTTAAGAAGAGATTGGACAACCATTTGTCTGAAATGGCATACGGTTTCCTGCCTGAGCAGGGGGTTGGACTAGAAGACCTTCAAGATCCCTTCCAACTCTGTTATTCGTTCTTCAAACAAGGATGAAAAAATAAAAGCAATTTCCTGTTTTATGCTTGGCATCTGGTAGCAAATGAGCTGCTTTGAAAAGTTGCAATTAGAAGGAAATGCGAGCAGGTTGTTTCCATTTAACACTTACTCTTTTTCTCCTTGCAGTTCCCACACCAGAAGAAATGTCTAGTCTTACACCAGAATCATCCCCTGAGTGAGTATTAGAAGAGACCCACAGGAGGAAAGAGAATTCAGTCATTTTTTTCTTCCGTTCATGGTTCTTACAAATGCTTTTCCAAATGACTATATTGTCCCAGAATTAATGTGCTTAATATGAGGAATCCAGATTTCTCCCTCTTTCCCATGAATGTATAATACCAACAATACATCACAAGAATGTGTGTCTTTATAGTTTCAATGTATGGTAGGAGAAATACCTTGGTCACCTCCTGGGTACTTCTGACACTTTCAGTGGAGACAAGCAAAGCTTCTTCCAAGATTTCTTTCCCAACTGCCTCGCTTTCCTTGTTCTGCTTTTCTTCCCTTGCAGGCTTGCCAAGAAATCCTGGTTTGGAAATTTTATCAACTTAGACAAAGAAGAACAAATTTTTGTGGTCATCAAAGACAAACCCCTGAGTTCCATCAAGGCTGATATTGTACACGCCTTCCTCTCAGTAAGGGCTCAGCTGGAAGCAAAGGAGAGGGCTGGGATTGATTCTGAAAAATTAAATGGAGCTGGTTGGTAGGATGAGGTCCTGTTGATGCTGAGGGCAGAAGGGTGGAGAAGGCTAGAGTAAACAGGACACTAAAAGGAAGATCTTTTCCATTCAATGTCTATGGCTTGACATTGCTTACCTTTGCTTAACCTACAGATCCCCAGCCTGAGTCACAGCGTTATATCCCAAACAAGCTTTCGGGCTGAATATAAATCATCGGGTGGGCCCTCCGTCTTCCAAAAACCTGTCAAGTTCCAAGTTGACATCAGCTACTCCGAGGGGGGAGAGGCACACAAGGACAGTGGGATCTACTCAGTCACCTTCACCCTCATCTCAGGTAGGTAGCCAGAAGTCCCACCCTCCCACTCGGAGTCACCTTTAGGAGCCATAATGTTTATTGGACTTTACAAACATTCACGTTTTGCAGTTCTGATTAAAAGCAAACAAAGCCAAAAGAAGCAGATTCCATGTTTGTTTGTGTGTGTGTGGTGTGTGTGTGTGTGATGTACATTGTGCTTTTTGGCTTTAAGTTCAGAGTTTTCTAGCCCTTACAGAGGAGATTAAGTAGTGTGAAGTGAGCATTAACCTCCAGAGGCAAAATATTGCACCTTCTCTAACATCTGAGAAGACTCTTCCCCCCCCCCCCCCCCCCCCCCCCCCCCCNGGACAGGAGGAGCCAACCAGCCCCATGGATGGGTCAAGGCCCACCAGGGACGCAAGGGACAGGGTGGGAAGATGGAGATTGGTCCAGATTTAATGACCCCACCTCACCCTGGGGCAGAAAGTGGCCATGTTGGGAGAGGCCCATACTGTGAACTTGTAAATAGCTAACGAAGAACAGAAAACAGAACAAATCCACAAAAGAACAGGAGGTGGGCGGGAAAACACAACATGGAACCGAAAACAAAGACAATGGACTGAATGGAAAGAAGAAGAAAAAAGGAAAACACACATGAGGAGAGAAACCGGGCAGGAGCCGGTGGGGGTGAGGGATTTAATCTGATTCCTTTAGTGGGACGGTGGGGGTCTTTATTTTCTTGAACCCTTTCAGACTCCCTTCTCACTTTCTTGCCTTGAGACTTATTTTTCTCCCCCCTGCTTTTTCTTCTGTAGTATTTACAGTATCATGGTGGCATTAAGCTAAAATTATGAGACAGAGCTAGTAGGAAGATGTCCTGTGTAGGAGAGAAATTAAAAGTTTCCATTCCTGTTTCTTTTTCTTCTTTTTGATTTTTTTTTTCATTTTATATAACCGGTCAATGTTTTAAAAACATTTTCATGAATTGGGGTGAAAATATTTACCAGAATTCTAATAAACATTTTGTTACAAGACAAACTTTTGAAAAATTCTCCCCTAAATCTATATTTAAAAAAACAACAACAAGCCAAATCTAAATGTGAAATGTGGAATCAAATTAGAAATTCAGGATCCAGAAATCCAGACTACGTTGTGCTTATACTATAGTTATTTTACTGGCAGCTGGCATTTTGAAAATTTGCTCAAAAGAGAAATGGGAAAAGTAATAAATAAAATATAATAAATAAATAAAAAAATAAATAAAAATGCCAAATGCCAAAAATTACCTACAGCTTCAATAATAAATACAGTACAGTTTCAAATCGCAATTTTTGGAAAATCAGCAAATATAACTTGTGCATGGCCAGGAATAGTCAATAGCATTAAAAATGAGCCATCTGAGTTTGCAAAACAATTGTAGCACAGTGTAGTTATATTCTCCATTCTTACTCCAACTTGGGTTCTGAACTAATGTGAATGCTCTTTATTCCAATTAAATGGATTTGGGGAACTTTCAGATTTGGTTTTTATTGTGCACTTCTCCTGCTTCGTATCACAGCTCTTTAAGGAGGCCATTGGCAGATTTTAAATTGTGTCTGTATTAAGGGCAAATGGCTATTTTAAGGAATTCTTTTTTCTTTCAGCTGTCCCTGAATTTATAAAAGAAACATGAATATATTTCATAACATCCCACCCTGTTCTGTTCTTGCCTGTGTCCTTTTAACTGCCAAAATTAGGGTTTTTTAAAAAGCATTTCTATAATCTCTGCTGGCTGGCAATATCTCAACAAATTGAATGACTGATCTCAGCTTCTCATTGGCTCTGCCTCATGTAATTTTAGCAGCCCTGACAGAATTCTTTAACTCTTAAATGGGCTATATACAATCCAACTCCTTCCCCAAGGCCTCTGTCCTTTTTGCAAAGGGCCCGGTCCCACACACCCAAGGCAGTCCTGTGTAGGTGTGTCTGTCTATGTGTGTGTGTGTTTGTGAGAGAGAGAGAAGATGAGAAGAAAATGCTCAGTGGTGAGTAGAGAGTACTGTGTTATTGATTGAAGGTAGGAATGGGGGGAGAGGTCTCATAAAATAGAAACAAATTTGGATTACATGGTTGCACTTGCTATTTTGACTTTTTTTTTTAAATTTTGACAAGCCTTTCCCATGCCCAGGATGCCCCTGGAAGGCAGAGGAGCTTGGGGACACCAGGGTTAGGACCTGCTGCCTCAACATTGTCAACATTTGAACTAGGGGCATTGAACAACATTAGGACCTGCCACCTCAACACTTGGACGAGGGGCAAACTTCACAGAACTTAGTAACTGGGATGGAGAGACGGGAGTAAAAAAACCCCCTAGGGTTTCATAAATCAATGGGCAGCAAGATATTCATCCTTGATCCTTCAGCTTGCGGCCTCGAGGTAGGGTGGGTTGTGGGAAGTCTCCCAAAATCAACCTTGTTTCTTTTTCCTCCTTCCCATCCTATTTGAGCGGATTCTTTTGGTTGGAAGGGGAAGCACAAGTTGTAGGGAAAGGTGCATGTGGAAGTGCGCATGAACTGGAGAGAATCAGATGTGATCTGCATCCCTTCTGCCGTTTCCTAGCTGGGTCTGTCCATTGTCATGGTTCCGAAAAGAAGCAGCTTTTCAAAGAACTTTGAGGCTTTATTTACCTCAAAGAATCCTTTTATTGCTACATAGCTTCGGCACGTACATAATGAAGCCAAAAACTGAATCCTCCCACCCCCAATCACCCGTAACAAAGCATAACTCACTCCTTCATTTTACAGTCATCAATCACGTTCTCCAATTAGTTTGAAGTGTGAACTGTCCCTCCCGTAACTCCTCCGGTTACAGCTGACCTTGGCAATGCTGTACTGAAATATTGTTATGGTTAACTAGCATACTTTCCCAGCCGCTATGCTAGCATTGTCTGCTTTAACTCTAGAAGTGATATGCAGGCTAAATATAACATGTTTGCTTCTTCATATATGGCAAGCAAGAACATCCGATGTTAGCAGTCTTGACATCCGGCCCCCCTTACAAAAAGGACAGATCCTGGAATGTAAACAAAAGCATAGGTTAAGGGTTATTTTTTGGTTTGTTGGGGTGTTTCACATGAAACCTTTTGACCAATCTGTCAGCTTTCACTTCACTGGATTTCACCCAGGTGGCTTCAGACAACGGGTATCCCTTCCATTGTACTAGGTACTGCAATTTCCCTTTAAAAATTCTAGAGTCAAGAATACGTTTTACTTCATAGTGGGTCTGTCCCGCAACTACGAGGGGCCCAGGTGCCTTCTTCGGAGGAGGTCTTAAAGTGGAGCCCTGATAAGGTTTCAACAAGCTACAATGGAAAACTGGGTGAATTTTCCCTAAACGTCTAGGGAGTTTTAGTTCTACTGTGACCGGGTTGATGATCCTTACTATGGGGAAAGGCCCCAAGAATTTTGGTCCCAATTTCTTGCTGGGCAATTTGAGGCGTAAATACTTAGTTGACAAATAAACCTTTTCCCCAACTTGGAATGTTCTTTGGGGAGCCCTCTTCCTATCAGCCTGCTTTTTATAGGTTTCAAAAGTCTTTTTTAAAGCAGTTTTTGTGTTTTTCCAAACTTCTTCCCACCCCCTCACCCACTGGTCAAGTGTCTGGGAAGCGGAGGGCACCTGAGGATATTCAGGTATTGGGCTGAACTCTTTTCCTGTGGTCACTCTGAAAGGCGTGTAGCCGGTGCTGCTGTGCACAGAATTATTGTACACCACCTCCGCAAAAGGGAGGAGATCAGTCCAGTTCGTCTGTTGGTAAGAAACGTAGCATCTAAGATATTGCTCCACCATTTTGTTAGCGGATTCTGCAGCCCCATTGGTGGCAGGATGAAAAGCAGAGGATAACCCTTGAGATGATCCAATTAATTTAAGAAAACTCCTCCAAAACTTCGCTGTGAACTGCACCCCCCTGTCCAAAATTATTCGCTTAGGGGTGCCATGCAGCCGGTAGATATGTTTCAAGAACAATTTGGTCAGTCGTTGGGCAGATGGGAGTCCTTTGCAGGCGATGAAATGAGCCTGCTTCGAAAACAAGTCTATCACAGTCCAGATGACAGTATTTCCTCTACTTTCAGGTAGGTCTACTATAAAGTCCATAGCTATTTCTTCCCATGGTTGAGAAGGGTCTGCCACAGGTTGCAGTAATCCAGGGGTTTTCCCTGGAATTCTTTTCATTGTAGCACATACAGTACAACTTTTTACATAGTTTTCCACATCCTTTTTCACTGAATGCCTCCGCCAGGCCCCAGTAGTCATTGGGAATGAGTGGTTCATCTGGTGGTGGTGAGGCAGCCATGTGCGCTCACTCATTGGGTGGCCTAAGGTGCCCTGCAACATCTGTTGAATCAATGGGGGGATTAGGCCCTATAGGTAGTCTCATGGTTCTCATTCCTTTCTCCTACCAGATAAACGGCTTCCATTTGTCTAACCAGGCTAGCCCTAGGATCACAGTCTCAGTCATTTTTGGAGCTACTAGGAAGCGAATAAACTCCCAGTGCGCACCTATTTCTAGGCGTAAGGGCTCAGTTACTTGCGTGACAAGAGTCCCTCCCATGAGGGAGCCATCGGCTTGCTCAAACCTCATGGGTTCGGAGAGCAATTTTGCTCGTATGCCCAATTTCATGGCAAAGGGTAAGCTAATAATACATCGGGTGCATCCAGAATCAATTAGCACATTTAAGTTCATTTGTACCCCCGATTTAGGGATTATAAGTTTGGCGGCTAGCGAAAAAGGCTGGATTTGTCGACTCACCATTGGGTCGTTCTCCCCTTCATCATCGCTCTCGAGAGAGGGTAGAGTGGGGAAGGATCCAGCCTTAGTCTCAGCATCCTCCTGTGTAGGGGATGCGACTTGGGCAGCCAGTTCTTGTTTGATTCAACTGGATTTTCCTCTCAGTGGCTGCTGATCAGATTTCTTCTTCGTTGCGTGTCTCGGTCTGCTCTGCTGTTGGGGGTAGGGAACTGGGCAGTTCGCTGCTCGATGTCCCTGTTGTCCGCATCGGAAGCACGCGAGCGGTGGCCCTGCAGGTGGTCTTGGTCTTTCGGTAGACTTAGTTGTTGGGGTTCTCCAGGGGGGTGGTTGTCGTCTGGGTCGTTCTGGTTTCGGTTCAATTTCAGGAGAGGGAGGCTTCTTATACCGAGAGAGCTTAACATCTAGCTTCACTGCTGTCTGGTACCACTCCTGTAGCTGATCAGGTACTTCTCGATAGATGCAGGCCTGAGAGAGGTGATTGTCTAATCCCTCTATGAAGTGATGGATTAGGGACTGCTCAGGCCACCCCTCTATTCGACCTGCTGTCTTGCGGAACTCTCGCACGTACTCCAGGGCAGGCCTGCCGGCTTGTTTTATTTTGTGGATCTGTTCTGCTGCTTTGAGGCCAATGGATGGGTCCTCAAATCGTTCTCTCATACCTAGGAGAAAAAGGTGGGGATCTTCCAGTTTGGGGCTTGCTCACTATATAAATTATTCAGCCATTCAGATGCTTCTCCCTCTAGGTTGGATGCAATAACATCGACCATGGCACCTGGGTCCGGATAGAGGTAGGCCCAGCGATTCAAGTGAGAACGCACTTGGTTCAGAAAAAAAATCAGCTTCTCTGGGTCCCCATCTAAGGTTGCTCTGAAGGGTGGTGCAAATACAGGCTGTTGCGGCCCCCACTGGGGCTGTTGCTGCTGGCCCCACCTTGGCTGCCGGTTCCACGGCTGCTGGACTCGTCTCTGCACTTGTGGCCCTCCCAGTTGCTGTTGGCCCCATCCGGTAGAACTGGTCTCTTGAATCGTTGGAGGTCTTCCACAGGTTGCTGT